AAAAAGAGACTAGATGTAGGGCTATGGGTTGGAGGTCTCTTGCTATGATCCAAGAGAAAGGTAATAGGTTAGGACAGGACCTGTTGAGGAAGTGGGAGATGTAAGGACATCTCCAGAGAGAACAGCTGACAGCAGACATTGCTGTTCTGTGCTGACATGGGGTTAGTGCCATTGAACAGCTTCACCTGAAGGAAGGGGACACTCGGGACAAAGGTACAGCAGGGAAAGGGGAAGGGGGCGGAGAATCAACCAAAATGAAAGAGCCACGGAAAGCCTCTATAGACGTTAATTGTTTTGTAAACTAATAAAATTTTATTTTTGTGGATTTCATATATCAGTAATGAATTTGCGTCATTCCCACCCTTTCCTCATGCCCCGCCAGCTCCTCTCCTGCTTTCCCACTCCCTCTGAATTTCGTGACCTCTTCTTCTTTAATTATTGTTGTTACACACACACACACACACACACACACACACACACACACACACACACACACGCACGCACGCACCTACCTACTGAGTCCACTTAATGTTACCTGTATGTACATGTGTTTAGGATTGACAAGCTTGGATTGGATGACCTTTCAGGAGACCGCAATAGAAGTAATTCTCCATCCAAATATCAGCATTAACCTCTTCCTACTTTGTATTTCACCCTCTTCCTCTGTTCGATGTGTTTCCGGCTATAGCAGTTTAGCATAAACTGTCTCCCGCCACAAGCAGGTTTTTATTGTGGAATGTGAAGATGAAGACTGAGGACACATACCTACAGGCTGAAGTTTGTGCTCACACATTCTCTTCGCAGCATCCTAAACAGGAAGTAGTCCAGCCCTCTAGTTTTATCCTGTGGCACCTCCAAACCCCCATGGTTAACACTGGTTGCACTTTGGTTAGCCAAAAGGAGCAATTGATATTATCTTATTATGAAAAAAGTCAATATGATATCTACATTTAGTTCTCCAGACTAGAGATTATCACCAGGGCTCATCCCTGCCATGAGATAGACTACTTCTTCAGTGCTTTGATGGACAAAGCAGCAGTGTTTGGTGAAAGGACAATGCATGTGTGCCTTATTTTCCTCATCCACCCAGAGTTTTGAATTGACTTTTGCATGCACGGTAACACAGAGGTCAGGTTTGACACAGCATGTGGATATCCAGCTTCTCCAACACTGTTTGTCAGGGGAGACTATCCTTTCTCCCTTGTGTATTCTTTAGACCCTTGTCAGAGGTCAGTTAACATAAATATGTATGGGTTGGTTTGGGACTGGAAAGATAGTCCAGTGGTTAAGAGCACTTGCTGCTCTTACAGGAGATTACAAAATGCAGTTATTTAAAGGAAATGTTCTCGTGCAGAAAACCCAAGTTCCCAGTACACAGTCAGACAACTCACAACTTTCTGCAATTCCATCTCCAGGAGATCTGATACCTCTGGCTTCCAAGGGCACCTGCAGTCTTGTGCACATGCCCACATGCCCCCCCCACACACACACCTACACATAAGTAAAAATAAATCTTTAAGTATTCATGGATTTATTTCTGCTGCCTCTGTTACACTATACTGGTTTATATACATCTGTCTTTATAGCGATAGTGTGCAATTCCGTTATTGTGGCTTTCTAATGCATTTTGAAATAAGAAAGTGTGGTGGCTCCAGGTTTGTCTTTTTATTTATAATGGTTTTGGCTATTCTAAATTTTTTATAGGTCCATATGGATTTCAGAAAATTTTCTATACTATAAAAATATGTCATTGTGACTTTGAAAGAGATTGTATTGAACCTGTAGATCATTTGGCCCACAATTATAAGTTTTCCAATCTATGAATAAACAAAATGTCTTCATTTGTCTAAATCATAATTTTTTCATCAGTGTTCTGTAGTTTTTAGTGTTTTTTTACTTAACTAAAAATACTTCTGAGGACTTTATTCTCTTCGATACTACTGCATATAAAATTTACTTTTCAATTTCCTTTCCAGGTAGATTGTTATCAGGGTATAAATATACAACTAATTTTTCTGTGTTGAGAAAAATTTTCACAAGTGTGTGGAACTTTACACATTTTTGAACAACTGGTAGATTAAAGAGTAAATTAAAAAGAAAACTTAAAAATGACATTTTAAGGTTAAAGTTTATAATGATAAATACCTATATTTTTAAAATATCAAATGAAAAAATGTAACTATATTTCAAAGAGCTGGAAAAAGAAAAAAACACTAAACCGAAAGTTAATATAGGAAATGAAACAATAAAGATTGGATGAGAAGCCTTGGTTGTGTAGATTAAAGGCAGGTGCTTGCATAGCATGGATAAGGCCCAGGCTCAAGAAGGAATGAAGGAATGAAGGAAAGTGGAAAACAGAAAATAACAGGAAAAAATTAATGAAACTAAAATTTGGATTTTTTTAAAAATATATATAAACAAAATTGAGACCTGCATATTTATCAAGAAAAAGGAGAGAAGAGATACAGATAGATAATGCCAAAATGAAAGAGAAACATTACAGTTGTTATCAAAGAAACAAAAATATTATAAAAATGCCAGGAACAGTGGTTCACATCTGTGATCCCAGCACTTAGGAGATGGAGGTAAGAGGCTTGAGAGGGCAACATAGTGATACCCTGTCTGTATAGTACTGTACAGCTATTGATGTAAGAGTAATAATAGTAAATTGAAAGTTAAAGTATCATTGAGACTACCACGAATAATTACAAACCACAAACCAGATAACTGAAAAGATGTAGGAAATCTCAGAAACATACTGCCCACAAAGAAGTATTATGAGTAAATAAAAAGTTTGGACAAATACAACTAGTGGTAAGATTAAATCAGTAATAAACTAACTCCCCATCAAAATAAAATAAATAGGAGTTCAGGACCTGAGGGCTTCACTGAAAATTTCTAACATTTGAAGAATAACAAGTACCAAGTCTTCCAACCCCTTACCCAAATCCATACAGTTTTTCCAGTTCCATTTCACACTGACACTAAAACTAAAAGCATCATAAGAAAGGAAAACTATAAGCCAATATTCTTGATGAAGCTGATGCCTCCCAGGCTTTCCCTTACATCCGAGTGGCAGCATCCACAACACTTGAATTCCGTATGTCTGCATAACACCCAGGTCTGTTACTAGATCACGCAGTAATCCAAGGCCAAAATGGCCTAAGAATGTCTAGATGACCAAATATAGGTAAATGTTTCTTCCATAATTGACCCTGTGCAGCAGCTGCCCCTGCTGTTTCCTTCTTCACTGACGTCAGAACTCAGCTTCTTCGGCTCTTTGACATGGACTGAGGACTGGGGGCTCTCCGGGAATGTTCCAGGACTTCAGCAACAGTTTGGGACTGCTGAGAAGGCCAGGCTCATGAACTGAGCAATTATTAGAGTCTCTGTTTCTCCTGTGTGAGAATAACCATCTAATAAATCATATATATATATATATATATATATATATATATATATATATATATATATTCCTTCTATTGGTTCTGTTCCACTAGAAAAGCCTGACTAATACAAAGATAAAGCCAAGGGAACCTGCATGGGATGACCTAAGCCTTCTGCATGTGGGTGGCAGTTGTGTAGCTTGGTCTGTTTGTGGGGCCCTTAGCACTGGGGTCAGGATCTGTCCTGATGCATGAGCTGGCTTTTGGGAACCTGTTCCCTATGCTGGGTTGCCTCCCCTAGCCTTGATGCAGGGGGAAGAGCTTGGTCTTGCCTCAATTTGATATAGCATGCTCTGCTGATTCCCATTGGAGCCTGCCCTTTTCTGAACAGAGGAGGAGGAGTAGATGGGGGAGGGGTAGATGAGAAGTGGAGAGAGGGAACAGGAGAAGAGGAGGGAGGGGAAACTGTGGTTGGTATGTAAAATAAATGAAAACATTTAATAAATTTATAAAAGAATAAACTTTAAATTTCAATAATAACTTCGAAATCAATGTTTTAGATGTTCATAAATAAAGCATAGTCACTAATACATATATGTTATAATGCATAACTTTCAAAGTAGTACGGTGAGGGTAGGGAGAAATAGGAAGAAAGTAAAGAGATAATTTTCCAGAAAGAAAAGAGAAAATACTTTAGTATACAAACGAATTACCTTAAATGTCTCAGCTGGGATATGTGAAGAGTGAATGAGTCTTGTTATAATTTCTATCATTTTATTATATGAAGATGATTTTTGCATGTATGTTGCCACATAGTTGTAATCACAGCCCTTGGGAAGCCAGCCTGGGCTGTATGGTGAGTTGAGGAACTACCTTAGAAATCATCAAGGCCTTGTTTCAAAAAAAACAAACCAGATAAGATAAGACAAAAAAAATCCATCCTAAATATTTTTCCCAATATAAAGGGGAACAAGCTTATTTTTAATAATTAAAAAATGTTAAAAAATTATCAATATATATATTCCCCATATCTCCCTGTAAACAAAAAATGAAGGAGAAAGTTATATCATCCCATTGCCATCCTTTTAGCGTGTAAAGAACCCCAAGTTGTCCCACTTACAGACACTTGCTATTTGATAAATGTATCAGAATAGAATGTTAAAATGCACAGATCATCACATCTGTAAAACTGTCATGCACGAGATGTCAGCACTTCTGTATTGATACAAGGAGTTGAAAATACTGTCTCTCAAATGCTGTCTCTCTCTTGCAGACCTAACAAAGACATGATTCCAGTTTCATTAAATAATAGAGTTAATATCATAATCTTAAGACTTATCCCCCAACTGGTTAATTAAAACTGAAAAAATAGAAACTGTGGAAGTGAGAAAGTTAAGGAAACAAGAATCAGAATATGGAGAAAGGCACATTCAAACATAATTTGAGGGAATGTAAATTGACACAATTTGACTGATCTATTAATAATAAAAACACATTCCAACTGGCAGAACCATTACTCTCAAAAAATTATCTCACTATGTGCTCAAAGAATGCAGAGATTATCCATAAAAAACATTCTACTTGGTATTGTTTAATACCACACACAAAACAAAATCTAAATGCCCATCCAAGGGCCATGATTTATTAAATTACAATATAATCATACAGTGGAATTTTACATAGACATTAAAAAGAATGAGGTAGTTTTGCTTATGCTGTTATAAAAACGTTTCCAAGACTCACATTATTAACTTTTGTAGGTCCAGCATTCCAGTATGTTTTGACAAGGAGCGGTCTTGACAAGGTGATGTGTGCATGTATACACATATGTAAATAAACATAAATGCATACATATACCATAGGTATGTCATATACAGAGAAAAATTTTTGGAAGAATTCATGAGAAACTCTTTAGTAATGATTGTTCCTTCCACATTATTTCTTGAGGAAACTCAGTTTTCATCATACTATATTGCACAATGTGATATTGTATAATAACCTTGTGCTTTCTTTGTAATAATTACATCAGTTCTTCAAAGAACTAACTGGTAGCAGCAAAGATTCCAAACCTCCAATCATAGAAGAATACAAATGCAAATCCATTAGAACATTTGTGCTTTCTAAGAACTTTTGAAGAGCAAGTTTCCAAGTAATCCTTCCATTGTAGAATTTTAAGGAAAGCAAAGCAGTAATTATGGTGTCTCTTGATTCATTTTTCTTGGTTCTAGATTCCAGTGGCTGATAAAGCAAGCCAGTCCGTGCCATTGACTTCACCTTGTGGCATCGAGCATGCCTCCTCCACCTTGGTCACAGTATCATAGAGTGGATTGCTCTTCTCCGTGTAGCTAGCGTAAGGCTGCATGTCATCCTTGGGAAAAGCTCAACGTCAAAATCCGTTCAAAAGAGCCAGAAATTATTACCCAAATTACCCATTTTTCTACCATATTAGCATCTACTAGCAATGCTTATGCGTGTGTCTCTGACTTACATGAACAGAAGAACAAGGCTTCCTTCTAATAGTCTATCAAAAACATTGGTTGATTATTTACATTTTGGGTGACATGACCGTTGGGTGAAGGTAGAAATGTAGAGGGATGTGGTGATGTGAGAAGTACTTCGAATGGATGAATCAAAGACAATAGGAAGTTGGTTTTGGAGACTAAGGGGCAGGCTGCTTTAAGTTTCGATAAGAGAAAAATGATGGTGGTACTGAAAAGGGGAAGTCGAGAATTAGACACAAGTTCCTGGAGAAGGAAACACCCACTTGATTTCCCCAGCGATTGCAGTCCAAATAGGGCAAAAGTGACGAAGACACAATTTATCAGATGAAAAGGTGTATTTGAGTAGCATATACATAGTATTTGATGGGTAATTAGGGAACTAAGTGTGTCTGACTACCAACAGTGTAAAATCAGCATTGTTTTGTTCAACTAGAACATGAATATTAACGCAAATTACAGATTATGTTGCTAGATTTCAGACCATGCGGCTTTAAAGTTTACAAATATCCTTTAATTTATCTTACCTCCTCAACAACTGTAGAAGCTCCTGGTCTTGTCCATTTACATTTTCTAAAAAATAACATAAAAATCTGGAGTGAATGCAGGCAGCGTCGTTGTTCAGGATAAACAGTTGTAGTATCGAAATGCTCTGATAACTATTATGTAAGTCTCAGTAAATCAAAAATGAACTACCAGAAATGAATGGAATACACTGATTTGCAGTTACTAATAACAAATAAGAAAATTCTGGCTCTTAGGTAGAAAAGCAAAATCTTGAGATAGGAGCTTCATGCAATAAAATATATGTGACTCAATCTCTTTGTTACATGAAAATAATTATTGTAGTTATTTTCTCAAATTAAAAAAAAATAGCATGCCCAGCTTCTCAGCCCTTACTGACTTAATTCATGGTGCTTTCACACCTGAGCAACTCATTAAACACTGTCACCAAGGAAAGTGTCCCAGCCTAACACTTCATGCATCCCTTTTGCTTATGAGAACATGGTTGTTATTCCCCAGTGGACCCGTCAGCCCCACATTTCTCAGCCTTTACTAGTCCAATGAGATTGAAGAAAAAAATTGTCAGTTAATACCTGAAGCCACTGATTTTCAAAAGCCAAATGCATCCTGTGATGATCAAAACAATAATAATAATAGTACATGGGATGACGTACGGAATATAAGATCGTAATGCTTTGTCACCTGTAATGACAGACAGGAAATGTTATGGTTCAAAGGTAATAAGTCCCGATAGTAGGATATTTTTCATTGATGAAATGGAGGACTTCATGTCTGGTACTGAAACATGCTCAAAAGCAGGTGGTCAGGAAGATCATGAGCCCTGGGGTGAGGGAGAGCCTACTGTTGCTTTGCTAAATGGACATGGTGTTCCGCTGTCTTCTAAATATTTATTTTATACTCAGAGATTGATGCTGCTTTTGATCTTGGTCATAGAAACTTCTGTTTGCAATGGGTAATGGTTAATGCAGGGACCCCTAACTGCTCAAGGTTCTGAGAATAAGCCATTGTTAAATGGAATGTTCAGTCCCAAACACTGTATTTCCATCACTGCATACTAGGTTCAGGGAGCATAGAGGAAGAGGGGCAGAAAGAAGGTAAGAGCCAGAGGATGGGAGGGAGTGCTGCAAAACATTATCCTCCAGGCGTAAAATGGGTGTTGAACTCTTGTACATGTAGCAGCAGTGGCTACATGTACAAGAGCTGTATGAGACTGAACTCTTTAACATTCCACCACTGATAAGAGAAGGGTCATAAGTTGTTCAACAACATAATTCCCCATCCACCCTCATGCAAGCAACCTGAATTAACATAATGTGCCACACACACCAAAAGAAAAAATGAAAGAAGTAGAAAGGAGCATGCTGGGAAAGGAGGTTCAATAGAAGGAGATAAGAAGGGGTAATGGGAGGAATATGAACAAAGTAATATTCACACATACATACATGCATATATATCATAAAATAATAAATTTTAAGATGAAAAACTTTAAGATGTGTTTCATAATTTTCAGAGACAAAATAAAAGTCAATCCCTTTATTGATTCAAAAAGGGAAAAAATAAGAGATGTCTTTAAGGGAAAAAATGATGTAGGACATTCTTCTGTTACTTGCTGTCTTTGCGGTATACTAAGCCACCCTGTTTCTTCAGAAAGAAAAAGGAAAGGCCTGACTGGCAGATTACCCAGTAAGTCAGAACATTTTGAATAATATTCACATTTATACAGCTGTGAATGACAAGCCATGGTGTGCAAAGACTTTGCTCCTGTCATATTGTATTCTGCAACTCAATAGAAAGCAGGGGAGGTTCTCATTTTTATCATTGTATCACGAACTTCAAATGTTTACATAATTTACAATTAATACTGGCTTCAGAAGACAAGATGAAATGAGCAGGGAAACCTGGCTCTCACTTTGGATAACTGCAAGAAACAGGGAGATCAGGAAGAGAAGAAACACCATGAACATTAGTGTATTGTATCACTAATCTGAGCATTAAAGTCTACACATCACAGAAGTATGAAAATATTTTATGGTGAACCTAATAACAGGGCATTTAGGGAAGTACAGACAAGAAGTACTTAGTACTGGCAATTCTTCCCACTTGATGCAAAGTTACAAAATAATTCTCCCGCACAACAATGCATTTCCTAGCTGTAGAGCAATGTCCAAGTGAGCCGCTCAAATTGTCTTCCCTGTGTTGGGTTATTCATTATCTACTACTTGAAGAATAAGTGAAATAACAGTTCCCTCTCAAGAAAGAAACAGCTCCTCTGTAATCCCAGCACTCAGGCAGCAGACAAAGTAGATCATGAACTTAAGGCCAGTCTTGGCTACAAAGGTAGATCTGATCTAATCTCAGAAGAAGAAAGTGATAAAGAGTAAAAAAGAAACAGAGGTAGATGGACCTGTGGATAGCTCAGGTGGTAAAAGCATTTGCTGTCAAGCCTGAGGACCAAAGTTCCATTCCATATGGTAGAAGGACAAGTTGTCCTCTGGCCTCTATGTACTTTCTATGGCACATGCACAAACACAATCAATCAATCAATCAATCAATCAATCAATAAAGGCAAAAAATTAAAGAGGTGGGTACTCACTACCTCCGATCAGTTCTATGGACAGAGTCTGGTTGCCGGTCAAATGGGAGACAAAGCAGAACACAGCAGACACATTGCTCTGATCCCACTGGCATGTGCTCCTGACAGTCACGGTGCCATTGCTGTGTGATTCATTCATAGTTTTGCAGTCCCCATCTGGAGTCCAGGAGATCTGAGCAGCCGGCTTGCCTGCAGTTGCCTCACAAACTGCAGTTCTGCTTTTCCCTGGAGACAGGGTTACTTCAGGGGGGACTGTGGCGAAAGAAGGGAAAAAAGATTCAGCCTCCTCACAGATTACAAAGTCATTTGTTTCTATCTAAAATCTGGTGACCTGAAATACCACAATGTGTGACATTGTTGCTTACCTAGAACTTGCAGGTCACGTCTCTCTTGGAAATGCCCATCAGATGTTGCTATCTGACATGAATAATGCCCATCATGATCGAGGGCCACTGCACTGATCTGAAGATCAGGACTCTGGTCAGGTGTGGAGTCCCAGGTGATTCTCCTGTCTGTACAGTTGGTTTCATTGGTCTCCTTGGTTTCTACTCTGTAGGATATTCTGCAGGAAGGCTGGTTTCTTAGGATTATTTCCCATGTTATTAGTACTGCTTTTGTCAGTGAAACATCAGGGCAGCAGAGCAGAGCCTTTGTACCCATCTGCACAGACACTATAGTATTAACTGGACACACACACACAGAGAGAAGGAGAGAAGAAAACCTGTGTTAATCCGTCCACAGCAGCATGTATGAAGTTACACTAGAGCATTGCTTGGCTAATGAGTGTATTCCAGAAATATCCGATTTTTCTCACATTTCTAGTTTCTGTATGTTCACTCTATCAGAATTAAATACATCACTCACCTTCTAAAGTAAAAATAATTCAAGGCCTATGGACCACATATGTTTTGCACAATAAAACCTCATACTGTCTGTACACTGACTTAAAGAGTCCATGATGGATACAAGTTTGCTGAGTGATGATTACTCAAAAAATTATCTGTTACAATCACCTGTGACAAAAGAGTCAATAATGTCACCACTTTAACAGGAGCAGAAATCTCTATGAATAAGCCTTGCTTCTGATAAACATTGAATTAAGTATCTCAACTATCCTGTTTCTATGTCACTTGCCTCTTTGGGGTCCTCAAGTCCTCACAAGTCACATATATAAAGGCCATCTAATTAGATGATGAAGGGCTCTTCAACACAGACCTGGGAGGGTGCTAATCCCATAGTGTTTTTACTCTAAGACAACTAAGGTTTAGAGGCAATCGCTCAGAGCCCCTCATACCATAACCTTCACATCACCAGATCCTTCCACTCCTCCTGAATCTGTCCAGCAGCCAAAGCATTAGTTGCTGTTTCTAAGGAAGTTCAACTCTCCATTCCCACAGTGTTGTTCACAAGATAAAGAAGAGTAGTACCTTCTGGCAAAGGTGATGGACTATTCTGTGCCGTTTGATTCCCATTTATACAACTTGACTCTAGAAAATATTTAAATAAGAGTGCTTAAATATTTAGATGATTTTAAGATAATAATCCAAGTTTTATCATCACTGATATGTAAACATCTTGAAAATAACATTTACAAGATATTAATCTATTATTTCCCACTTACGAGTGACCTTATTTTGTCAAACAGTTTGTAGGGTAGCCCTGCCTTTCTTCTTCCAGCCCCTTAGCAGGTTCAGTGTAGGCATAACACATAAACTGACTTGATTAAACTCTTTTCTCCAGATACCATACCCCTATTTAAAGACATTTGGTCCAGTAATGAACACTTCACACAGATGAAGAAACAGAGATACTCTCAAGAACTGAAGAAACAGAAGCACAAAGAGTTCATCCTCTCTCTTTCTTCCTACTCTCTACCTTGAGAATCATCAATGGAAGTGAAGCAGAACAGAGGTAGGAACAGGGTATGTGTCCTTTCCTCTGTTTACTTTCTTGTTATACAGTTCCTGGAACCTATTTGTATTCCTTCCTTGAGTTCTGTAGAATTTCTCACAATTATAGTAGTCCCAAGCCAGGCATGCCCACACAGAGTAGGAAGCAGGAGAATCATGAATATCAGAGCAGCTGGCCATAAAGTGAATTTTGAGGATAAATTCACATAAAAGGTTACAAAGAAAAATAAGCCTGTCATTTGCTGGAAAATGAATGGAACTAGAAGGCCTGCTATTAAGCGGAATAATCCAGGTACAGCAAGATAAGTAACACATGTTGCTGCATGTGAAAGCAGAATACAACCCACAGACCTAACAGAAGTGGATTACAGTGGACTGGAAAGGAAAGGGTGCTGGGAAAGGGGAGTGGATGAAGATCTGAGAAGAAATTTCTTCTTTCTTTCCTTTCTTCGGAATAGAGGACATAGGTATAAACCACAATACTACATTCACCTGATTTTTTTAATTGAAAGTAGGATTTTTTTCACAAAATAGATTCTAATTGTGGTTTTCCCTCCCCCAACTCCCCCTAGATCCTCCCACCTACCCAAATCTGCACCCTTTTCTGCTCTCTCTCATTAGAAAATAAACAGCAGCCATCTAAAATTAATGATTGTAATAAAGTAAGATAAAATAAAAACAAACAGATCAGAACAGGACAAAACAAACAAACAGAGGGGGAAGAGCCAAAGAGAAAACACAAGAAACACATGCAGACACAGAGACATACACATTTGCACACACAGAAATTCCATAAAAACACAAAGACAGAAACTGTAATATATAAACAAAAGACCTGTAAGGGGGAAAATGCCCAGGCAAAGCATTATGACACACACACAAAAAAAAAAAAAACCTCCAAAAATACCATTGAGTTCATTTTGTGTTGGCCATCTACTGCTGGGCATGGGGCCCGCTCTTAAGTGTGGTTTGTATACCCAGTGAGATTCCATTGGAGAAAATTAAATTCTCCTTTGTGAGTGGTTATCAGTTGGAGATAGGTTCATTTCCTCTCTCAGCATTGGGACCCCATCTGGCTTAGACCTGTGCAGACTCTGTGCATGTTGCCACGGTCTCTGTGAGTTCCTATGTGTGGCAGTCCTTCTGTGTCTAGAAGGTCTTGTTTCCTTGGTGTCTTCCATCCTCACTGGCTCTTGCAATCTTTCAGCCTCCTCTTCAGCGGAGACACCTGAGCTTTGGGAGGAGGGATTTGATGGAGACATTTCATTTAGGACTGTTACTTTTTCCTGTGGTAGCATGTGGAGTACCTTCCAGTAACATGAACACTAGTCAATAGAGGTGAAGGTTCTAGGTAGGCACCAACTTGACTTCTCCATGTTCAATGAGTTACATAGACGTTGTCTTCAGCAGTACAGCCTTACCTTCAATTTGTGGAGATGAACCAATAGCCTTGGCAATACAGCCACCTGATTTTTAACAAATATGCCAAAAATACATATTGGAGGATAATACCCTTGTCAAAAAATAGTGTTGCAAAAATTAGATATCCATATGTAGATGAATGAAAGCAGACTCCAATCTCTCACCTCTTACAGGAATCAACTTCAAATGGAGCAAAGACGTTCATATGAGCTCTGAAACACTGCTGCTGTGTGGTGGTTTGAATGAAAATGGCCCCCATAGTCTCATAAGGAGTGGCACTATTAGGAGGTGTGCCCTTGTTGGAGGAAGTGTGTCATTGGGGGTGGGCTTTGAGGTTTTAAATGCTCAAGCCATGCCCCCATGTCACTCCCCCTTTCTGCAGCCCTGATGATCCAGATCTAGAACTCTCAGCTCCTTCTCCAGCATCATGTCTGCCTGCACGCTGCCATGCTTCCCACCATGATGATAATGGACTAAACCACTGAACCTGTAAACTAGCCCCAATTAAATGTTTTCCTTATTAAGAGTTGCCATGGGGGGCTGGAGAGATGGCTCAGTGGTTAAAAGCACTGGCTGCTCTTCCAGATGACCTGGGTTCAATTCCCAGAACCCACATGGCAGTTCACAACTGTTTATAACTCCAGTTCCAGGGGATCTGATACCTTCACACCAAAGTACATAAAATAAATTTAAAAAGAAAAGAGTTGCCATGGTCATGGTGTACCTTCACAGTAATAGAAATCCTAACTAAGACATACTGTTAGAGGACAAGGTAGAAGGAACATTAAAAATACAGTAATAGACAAAGACTTTAGTCACTCAGGAAATAAAGCCATCAATTGAAAAAGAGACTTTATTAAAGTAAGAAATTTCTGTACAGCAAAGGAAATATTTGAGTGAAAAGGCAGCCTACAGAATAGGAGAGACATTTTTGCTAACTGTATATCTAATGGAGGACTAACACGCAAAATACTAAAAAAAAAAAAAATTAAATGGCCCAATTAACAAATGAGTTAATGAAATGAACAGACAATTCTCAAAAAAGGAGTAAAAATAAATAATAAACATATAAAAATGTTCACTATTACTAACCATCAGAGAAATACAAATTAAAAACATTGAGATTAAATCTCGCACTACTCAGAATGATAACGGTTGAGCAAACAACTACAGAGTAGAGGCAGAAGAGGGAGAGGAAAATAATGTAATAATACTTTAAGTAAATAAAAAATAGGAATTTTAATTTAAGAAAAAAGAAAAGGAAGATAACCACACACATGCAGATAAGGATACAGAGAAAAGGGGGCCCTTATTCATTGCTGCTAAGAATGTGAATTAGCTCCCATCATAACTGCCAAAACTTGGAAAGTAACAAGATATTCTTTAGTAAACAAATAGGTAAATATATTATGTCACATTTGGAAGTGACACTATCACTCAGTGCTTGAAAGAAATTTTCAGAGATGAGGACGTAGCTCAGTGGGTAGAGAGCTTGCTTAGCCTACACAAAGCCCTGAGTTCAATCCCCAGCCCTGCATGGAACTGGACATAATAGACTCATGTAATCCTAGCAATTCGGAGGTAGAAAATGGACAACTAGAAAGTTCAAGGGCACCCTTGGCCACATTTGGAAATCCTCAGTTACTGAAAGTGGGTCATTAAAAGACGAAGGGAAATTAAATGCGCATGACTAAGTTTAAAGAAAAACCGGAAAAGCTGCACACTTATTGCTGTCACGTGGCATGGTGGGAAAAGCAAAGCTGTGGCTGGAGTGAACAATAGAGGTTAGAGGAACGGGAAAGATGAACGCACAAAGCAAAGATGATTTTAGGGCAACCAAATGACTCCTCATGATGTTGTGATCTGAGATATTGCTGTCTTACATTTGTTTAATCCCTTAGAATACACAACGTAAGGGTGAACTCTAAGGTGCAAATGTATAAATTCATGAGCTGTAATAATAATGCATCATTTTAGTGGGGACTGCAGATAACTGAGAAGACTTCTCACATTAAGAGGCAAGGGCAGGGATACAGATGTGGACAGTTTCTGTTCCTTCCACTGAATTCTTCTGTGAATCAAAAACTGCTCTTGAAAAATCTATCAACGTTTAATTTCAAAGTTACCCCCAAACAAAAATTTTGGAAACAGCAGAACAGAAAATAAACTACTGGCTGTTCATTGTTCAAAAGTGTTCTGAGCTAATCTATGCTGCAAACATCAGATGGAAAAAGTTTTAGATATGCCATGATTCTTTTTAATGATTGCATTCTTGACGTTGGTACTAAATAAACAGAAATAATTTCAGAATGGAAAATTTGTCAACACTCTTAAACACAAAAAAACATAATCTAGCATACCATAAAACAGCAGTTCTCAAGCTGTGGGTTGTTACCATCGGAAAACACATAGTTGGAATGATCTTAGGAACACCCAACCATAAATTTATTTTCATTGCTATTTTGTAACTGTAATTTTGCTCCTGAGTAATGTCTCAGTTCCTAAGGCCATCATAATTATGTGTTTTCTGGTGGTTGAGACCCACAGGTTGAGAATTGCTGCTATAAAATGTCTCCCCTCCATGTTCTAACCATGATGTTCCTGCTCATCTTACAAGATCTGACAAGATCAGGCATGTGCAGGGTGGTATGACAATAGAAAATACTCTATTAACATTAGCTGCATATAAAGCAGTTTGATAGTCTAAAGTCCAAACACTATCTAAGCATCAAGCACTAACTTGTTATGACTATCATTAAAGGATGGGGCATCAACTAAAATGTGACCGAGCTTGCTCGTTAGCTGCAGTAGAGAATCCCTTAGGTCTTTGGTGACACAAGACCTTTCATTGCTGAACTTGCGTGTTTTGAAAAAGAGGTGCAGGATGGTAATGTGCATAAATGAATCCATTCATTTAGCAACACCCTTTTTCCTATGTTCTTTGGGCCATTTCAGATTGCTATTGCTAATGCTAATAAATATATAAATGACCACAGCCAAGCAGTTTGCCCTACCACAAACTTTTGACTTGGTCTTCATTTGACATCTCTGCTCCCCTTCCCTCTCTCCTGTTTATATCCAACAACTCAGTAGTTCTTCTTTTGGGATCACAGTATTTAGTGCATCCCAGTGTGAAAATGCTCTTAATTATCTGT